TGTGATAAACAGCAGACGGGGCTTACCGTATAGTCACGAAGACCTGCTGTTCAACGATGATAACCGGTACCCTGAGCCCCAGGGTTTGAAGTAGTGAACCACATGAGGTCCCGCTAGCCCAGGCGTGGTATAGAACCGGACGACAGCAAAGCTGCTTACCACCAACGTCGGCTGGTGGTGGTGGGGCTGGAACTTCGGACTATAGGCTCCAAAGCACGACAGTGACAGCGACTAAACCACTGCGCCACCACCACCCTCGGGAATGAGGCTCTTTGCCGTTTGTATTCACTCCAAAACGTTGTCCTTCCTACTGCACTGCAATCCCGGTGAGGTTGGTTGAACTGCATTTGAAAAGCTCTAATTCGTTCTTGGCGTTATCGGTTACCACGAGGGTTTTGTGGTGACTTACGGCTATCAGCACTTCCTGCTTTCCAGATCTTAGTAGTTCGCTTTAATGGAACCGGTAGGGAATATCTCTACCAGGAACTTTGATGCTACGGGAGCCGAAATGGGCTAATGGAACTCCGAATAATGTTAGCGATATCAACCTGTTGATCCTGCATAACACGCATACTCACCTTCTTATTTCCGAGATCCAGTGTAGTTTCCACACTAAACTTTATGCGTATGCCCTACAGCTACGGCTTAGGCTATCCGCAGTAAATAAGACAGTGTACAAAACAGACCGGGTGTTTAGATATTATGAAACAACAGCGAAATTAGGGTATTCAGTATCCAGTAACCGATTAAAAAATTATAGGGACAGAAAAATGCTGCTTCCGTGGTGTTGAGAAAGGTGGTGTTGCATGTGACATTGTAAATTCCGTTGTGCATCTAGCGTTCTGCTGAGGGAGGCGAGGGTTTGTTCACTGACCCACGTAAATCATTTAAACTCAGGTGACCGATAGGTGTGGGTTTCCCAAACAGAAGCATACTTTCGATCACGATAGGGATGCTCTTTTCAGGGACCTAGCTTCCCAGTCACATGATAGAACAGCAAAAAAATACGTGTATATCCCAAGGATAATACGTGGGACAACGAAATAGAACTCTTGGCTTATATCAAGGTCAAGTCACTCCAATAACGTATTTTACTTGCCTTTATCGGATGACGTTTTCAGTGAATGCTGTAGTGTTAGATTTGCCATAGATGCTCTGAAAATTTGTCTAGGTATGCAGTGTTGTTTTAACTGAAGATATTGAACAAAACACGTTTAGTGAAGTAAAATTGTTAGAATATCTGCATCAGATATTCTTTCGTTCACGTATTCTTTTCTTGCAAAAGTAAAATATTGTGTGGTGAAACTTGAAATGGTTTAGCGGTGGATCAGATTTAAGGAAGTTAGGGTTTGAATCATATCTGTATAAGGCAACTCAGTTGTCGTTAAGTTTCAGATTTTCGGTGATTACCAAACTCAAAACGCAGTCGGGAAAAGCCATACATTTTCAAGACGAAACACAATGTCACTTCTCACGTAATGTTTATCGAGAAATTTTTAGGGCCTCAATACATTTTGTTTTCCCAAATTTTAGCAGTTAATAGGTTGACAAGTTCTTAGCCGAATTCATTCAGTTATTGCCTTTTGTTTTGCACACCTGAGCATGATGACCAGCAGACAGAGTGAACCCCATAGTCCCGAACACGTGCGATTCAGTTTTGGAAAACAATAACCTAAGCCTCGGGACTTGGAGTGGCAAAGCGCATAAGGCCCCCGCTTGTTTAGGTGTGGTGTTGATCCCGGCAATAGCAAAACTGTCTACCCTCAACTCTGGGTAGCTGTGGCAGGGCTCAAACCTCGGATCTTGAGGTCCAAAGCATGTCGATGGCAGCCACTAAAACCCTGCACCTAGCTGCCTAAATCGTAAACCTTTTCCTTTGTTGAAGACAGATGAGTTAGTTACCTCGAGAGTGAGATCCGGTGAAAGAAGAGGGCGCACGCATTATAATATCTCCATGTAGCGGATTCGAGACATGAGTTTGTGTTGTGAAACTATCAAGTGGCAGAATTTCACAGGAATCCAGCTACTTCCAGGTAAAGATAAAGATAGACGTTAAAGATCTGATGAGCAACTTGAAGTCCCCTGTGAAGACTACGGAGGACGCGTCCAGCCAAAGGGGTAAAATGCAAGCTAAAAGAAAACAGCAAATCAGGAAGCGAGGGACGGATAAAGCTCTCAAACGTAGAATATACGGAGACAGTTTTCTGACCTTCCCAAATGCGGAGGTAACTTGATCAGAACTGCATAAATTTCGGCGGAGACACCTAACATTTACGGGTTATTTGATGATATCACCTTGTACATTTTTCGTGCGGCAGAATTCGAGAGATTTGCGTAACGGTTCAATCTGAGAAGACGAAACAGCATGCTATGCACTTAGCGGGATTAAGAGTAATTTTTAAGTCGCAGTGACATTCGGAAGACCCAAGAAAGGAAAGGGCGGATATGGAGGGAGGACGGCATTATTGATGAAACAAATGTCCAAATGAGCATTCAGCCTTGCTGAGAAATTCACTGTTTGAAAAGCGAAGAACAGTCGAGTGGCTATAGGCAACACAATTGAGGTCACCTCAAATGAGAAGACTGAAAATAACTTGATAAAGCTGTATCTGAACAATGAAGAAGTTCCTCTGAAGGACAAGAAGGAGGAATGTAATTATTAGCTAAGACAATCGACCGGTAGTTACTTGGGTTCCTAGGCTTGCATTCATAAACGGTGGCACAATTGTAGCCAGTGGAGTATGCGAATACCTGCTTTACATTCTTTCACCAATTGTTATTGATGCAGGTCACCATTCCTCCCCCACGCTTCCGATAACTTTCGGTTCGGTCAACGCGGTACAGCGGTCGAGTTTAGTAGTCCCTCATCAATATCACCGCATAACCAGGTTTCTTGAGTTGCGCCCAATTTAGAATATTTCAAGATCATATTATTCTGGTAACTTCCCAGACAATAAACGGACGTTGTTGCTGACTTTTCCATTGTGTGTTGTGTAGCAACCCTTTGATTGGCCGTTCCCCCCCCCTTTGAAAATTGTATCATTATGTATTCAATAAAAAGGAAGTAAAAATGGAAAATAAAAGATAATGACGGGCTTATAAAGTTTTGATAAATCTCTTTGGCGCGGCGCCATTCCCTATCCACCCCGGGAAATTGGAGTTTTTAATGTTTTTCATTAGGGCTTTGTGGAATTTCGCGACAGATGTTATCGTAGTCGCACGATATCGTTATAGAAACGAAACACTGCAATTTTTGTGCAAAAACGAAGGCAATATCAGACGCGATGTAGCGTTGATCGAACAACATACAACAGCACGGCCAAACTTGGAGGCCCCGCTGCAGGTGTGACGAATTTATATTGCTTATTCATAGAGGCTTATGCCAACCATTTAAGACCCCCTAATCCAAGCGGTAGAACAATTCTCGAAAGTTTCAGTGACAGACTAAGTACATCAATGTTATCATAGGTTTTATTCCGGTTATGCCGACTTTTTCTCATCGGGAATTCCATCTTCTGTTCTTCTGATCTTTAACACGTATAGATCAAACTGGAACCCTCGGATACCTCGACGGACTCCTGTGCCCAACCCACATACATACAAGTGCACAAAGGAAGTACAACTATCACCCGTGCCATCTTACCGAAACCCAGCATCGATCAACCTCCGTCTCCCGTATTGTCCACTGAAATGGACGAAGTACTCGATTCAGCACCGTTGACAGAGGAGGAAGTGCTTGGTCGCCGTTTATCGCGAATAATCAAACCAGGTTTCATGCAAGTTTTTTCTAAGCACTTCAAGAGTTTACCATCCGAACCGCAATTACTGGACACCGCATTGGACAATCGAAGCACACTGTTCCAACTGTTTGAGTTCTTCGATTGGGAAGTACGTTCCGAAATACTTGGATACCTTTTTGTTGTTTTCCAGTTTGTGAGATAATTACTGTCTCCATCATTACTGTTCTTTCCATAGCCAAATCTTTGTTCGTTGATATTTTCCTTGAGGTGTATCTTAGTGTTGTTGAACACCATTTACTATGAGGGGTGAACAGTACTGTTGTTTATTTATCGTCACCGCCTGCCTGGGTTTGCCTATCGTTGTCGCATCGTTTCAATCCTTTTTTTACTGTTTTATAGACATCCTCCTGGTGACAGATCTTTCAAAATCTCACCATTGCATATTTATGCCTGCATTTAGGTCAATTTAAACATCACTCACCTTTCAAATACTGCCTAGATTACTCTCTGAACAGGCTTTTGCGGTAACACGCGCGGTAATACCGCTCTCCGTCGTTGCTATTCACGGAAGTCTTGCGGTTTGCACTTTAATACGGCAAGCATGACCCTGTAAGGTTAATGGATGTGCACATTGAACTGTACTAGTAGAATTCGACTATTTTCGATCTTTCTACTGGTCCGCTTACTCCTGTAATCAATAAAGATAAGGTGATACAGCCAAACAGTTGAATTATGGCTTTGTGTTCACTATTCGTTGGTGAATAAAAGTAAGAAGCGGGCAGCGCTGAATGATATTAAACTTTTTGTCGGCAAATCGTTAGCAAGTTATAGCATCCGAAAAGCAGTTTCAATTTCACTTCGGTTCCCGGTAGAACAAACTACCAATAATTGGTCCAACTCCCATGTTTACATAAATTGGTTGTTCTTATCCGATTTCTTTTTCCTAGTGGAACCTACCGATTGAAGTCCCATCCTCCGTCCGACAAGCCGTGTGGACCGTATTTCACGAACAATTCAATGAAAGTTTAACTGATATGGTTCGATTTATCAAACGTGTCCCAGGGTTCCCGATCCTGAAACCTCAAGATAGAATTCTACTCGTGCGCAACAGTGGCTTCGAGGTAATGCGCATCCGCTTTGGTTACCTTTCTCCTCTCCTTACCCAATCCGCGCTGTTTTAGTGCCGGTTCTCATCGACTTTTTATGGGAGCTTGTTGTGTGCAGTATTTGCAGGTTTCATAGAATTGCAATCAATGAGGTCTGATATATTTAATAGGCTGTAATTAACCATGAGGTAACCATGTTACGGTATGTTGATTTTTCCCGATACATGAATGTTGATTGTGACCAATGTAAAGCACTCCGGTGTCTGTGTTTCTTATATATCTGCCTTCTCCCCACGTCCTTAATGTTTTCTTATCATTCAACTATTGATCAATCCTACCGACAAGTTATCTTACTTTGCAGTTGTTTCATAGAAGGATCTACTTTTTCGGTTGTCCTATGCTAAGATTTCCTGATGGTTTACTCAAATTTGCTCCTCATAGTCATTTAGTTCTGCAAATTGCTCTCTATAACCCATAAAAGCTATGTAAACGTAAGATCAAGCTCATTCCATAGATCAGGAACATTCGTATCAAAGACCCTATTTTACTGATAATTGACCCTCAGTCTTTCAACTGCACCTAATCCTATGCAACAGTGTACTCAACACCGCAGTAAATGACGTATTCACTTTTCACCCTCGTTCTCTTTTGTAACAAAATAGCTCGCTTTCTTGGTGCACTATTTGAACTGGAACACTGAGTTCGTATGTTGGCACGGTCCGGAGAATTTCGTCCTTACGTTAGAACAATTGTGCGCCATATTTCCGGCCGGAATGAAATTTTTCCACTATGCGTTTACCAATACAAAACGCTTGACCAAACTAACTCAGCAATTGCAACATTTGGGCTTGTTCGCGGCTCTAATTATTCTCGACGATGGTAAGTACCTTGTGTGACTGGTTTACTGCTGTACGGCTTCCGTTCTGAAATTGTGTAGAGCCATGTAGATAAATGCAAATTCGAAATTGGATCATAATTCGGGGGATTGTTAACATTTATGTGGCATAGAGAGCGCAAATCATGAACCCTTTTTTTCTTATTATGAACATCCCACCGTGATTTGTTCGACACCGTTTGAACTCAGACATGTGTGCAAAATATAAGGTAGTATAATAACATAGAGGAGGAGGGCATAGAGAACGTGTCATGGACCACAGCTTTCCCGAGTAGATCCCCGCTATCACGTAGGTTTTCGGGCAACACAAAATATCTAGGACTCCATATAATTTCGACAGTAAATCTTCAATCGGTTATAATCCAAAGTGCTCATAATTTCACAATTTGGCTTCATCATAGAACCAAGCGTTCCCTGGGAGTCTCAGAAATGGTGCGCTAATCAAATTGTTTCTCTTATCACTATAGAATACTGAACACATTCCTTTTGACCCAACTCATCGCATTACAATCCCATGACTCATTCCTATTCAGTGAAGCTAACACCAACCAGTTTAACCCGAAAGGTACATCTGCAAGAAGCATTGGTAAACCAAGGATTGCGGACATGTTCTGGGACTAGTTTTATCAGCGATGGTTCTGTTACTTTAAATATTTTTAACCGAAGTGTGCTTTTGTTTTTTACCAGAATCATTATTCCTGTAAGATAGTATGATAATGGCGCTTTAAATATGACGAATACCTATTTCTTGGCTGCGAGGGCTGGCGGAAAAAGGTCTGAGTTTTGTGGAAACAGCACCAATCACTGTTCACTGCATTTTTCTTCATTTTGAAAATAGTTCGAGACACAGTTCAATTTCCTCCACAAACACGCATGTATTCTTCTTTTTGAGCCGATTAATTGAACCCGATGATATCCTAAATGTTTTCGGGTTGCCTTGGTTTCCTATTTATAACTGTTACAGTTTCTACTGCGCACGTCCCACGTCATCTTTGGGATTGTGTTAGGTTTCTTTCCCGGGTTCTATTTTTGCGTATCCTATTCGGCACAAACCATCTCCTTCTATTTCACCTTTACTTGTTTTCCGGGACTGCGTTTGTCTGCCGTTACTATCACAGAATAAGAAAAACGTTTTCAGTGGTAGCGATCAATGAATGATATGTTTGAACACAATTATCATTGATCCTGTCTGAAGGCTTTTCTCCTGGCTTCTCGGTCCACCCAGCTCTGCCGGACAGTTACGTGCTATCCCTTTACTTTTGCCCTATCATTGCCCTGTTGTATCACAGTGAATATCAGCATTACATTAGTTTGTTGCACCCTCCTTTTCAGAGTTACCCAATTTAAACGACCGAGACACGGTGAAAGCCTTACGAGAGCGTGTGATGGACGCAATTCGATACAACTTGAAAGTTCGTCAACAGGATGTAGAAAAGGTGGTCAGTCGAATCCAGATTGGCGTGCAAAAATTGCGTAAAATGGGAGTCGAACATCGAAAGGTTTTGGAAAGTTTACGTAGTGACGATGCATTTGAATTCCCCGATGATTTGTACGCTGAACTGTTCGAGCTGATTTCTGACTAAATGGTCTCCTTTGTATGTGTGTATTGTGTATGCGTGTGAAATTGTTAAGTTCGTTGCATACCTTTCCTGTACAACTGAAGAAAGCAATAAGCCACCTTCCCAACCCGACCATAGCAGCGAGGAATTGAAAAACCACTGACATCTCATTTCTGCTGCAGTCAATTTCAGATTTTCATTCTCTCTGGTCCTCGTTTCTTCATCACCTATACATATATATATATATATATATACATATGCACTTATCTATATACCGATCTATCTCCGCAGTTTCGCTTGTTCATTCGCCCATGTACATTGTTCTGTTCTATTATCACCTGTCTTCTCCCCTCATCCTGTCATCGATTTTATGCATACATTGTGAATAATAATAATATGAAAATTCGTGTAAGCCTTTGTTCTTACCAACCAGATTGTGTTTAGAACCTAGGTCGTTTTGTCATTAATGAGGTAGCTCATAGCGCCGAATGACCTAGCCGCGCCAAAGTAGTACCTATCGCATCTCTGGTATCAGTTGTAAGGTACATTGGTTGATAGTCACCATAGCCGGAAATGTGGTCATTATTATATTAAAATGACTTGTGTCGCCGATTACATTTAATGGAAAGCAACGGCGTAATCCTAATTGTTACATGGCAGGGGGCGAAATTTGTGCCTACACGGATTTGTCTTGGGTGGTTTAGGATGGGTCATTAACGTTCTCTCCGTGCTTCTTTGTGCACGGTGCTCTTCGAATGCTACCACATTATTTTCGTCGATTCCTATCGCTCCCTAAACTCTCCATCTTTGAAATGTACTTTAGTTATAGTGTGTTTGTAAGGATAGTGGTACGATCCCCTAACTTGTTTAGTGCGCGCTATACACTGTTGCTATACGCTCGTTGCTCGTTTCAATCATGTACACAAAGCATTACATTTTAATAACTAACGGACAAATGTAAACCGGGTGCAGAGTTTGAACAAAAGTCCATCACGACGAGACTGCACCTTGACGTGATGTGATGGCTTGTGCATCTCCTTGACCCAACGAGCTGCACATGATGGCTTTTGTCAAGCCAGGAGATCTTATCATGCCTGGAAGGTCAATGGGTAGAGGTCAAATGAAGTTCAGTCTCCTAGTCCTCCAGGTTGGGGTTTCGACTGGAATTTTCGTTTCAGTCCTTGATAAATGATGGAGGAATAATCGATCCAAGTAAATGGGCCTTCACTTCACTTTACCCGCTGCCTTGCTGTTGGGTTCTTGTTAGAACTAAAGGCCTTGGACGAGAACCCTAATAGTTCTCCTGCTTAATGACTGGACACCCTAGCAGTACCCGTCCATCAAACCCCAACGCATACACAAATAAAAATAATTCCATACTGCATCGGTCGTCGTTCAGGATAATNATAATCAGGACCGCGCTGCTCATTGCATCGAGCGGGGTGGGTAGTGATAAGTGGGCTACTGCTCAGATATCCCAACCTTTGTTTCATTCTTTGTCTTCAGTACCCAGCCCTCTTTATTTCCCCTTCTTCCGAACTGTAATAGTCCCTCAAGCAACTTTAATGTCGCCCGCCAAATAGCACTTTAAGTAATGTATCTCGAAACCAATTGCAGATTCTAAAGCCTCGTCAATCTCTGGATCTAGGGGCCTTCAATGTGAGGACCCTGATGCAGGTAGGTCAACGAGTTTGTCTGGGGCGTACAATAGAATCCTTGGGGATCGATGTTTGCTGTGTGTCGGATACTCGTATCCAGGATCCTACTACTACAAGCCACTTGAGCGTCCCAGATTTGTCATTCAGATATGTTCGCACATCAGGTGACGGCGGAGACCGTGCAGTAGGTCACCACGGATAGGTATTGTACCCTGTAACAGGGCGCAGTTCTCTTATAGAGTGGATCCCCGTCAATAGTCGTTTATCTGCAGTGCGTCTCCAGGGTTCAATGAGCGTCCGGATAGGAAAC